GGGAGAGGGACACTTTGTCCATAAGTGGGTTTCATGCTGCATGTTCAGAGTAGCTGCTTGAAGGTGTCCTGGGTTCCATTCGCAGCGAACCCGTGAATGCAAGTATTCAGCAGGAGAGGGTTGGATGGGCTGGATGGAAGACTAGACGAATATGCAATACTCGCCCAAACCCTGAGCTTATTGCAGCTTTCTCTCGCAAGGAAGCGTCTTTGCTGGCACCTTTTACGCATCCACTTTTTGCCCAAGTGACGGCATGGGGCCTAGATACAAATAATGTGCCACACACACCCCATGAGCTGCCACACCCCCTCAACCCTCTTCTGGAGTGCGCAGGTGAAGCCGCACGGTGTTTTAGGGGCTGGAGCTGGAGTGGCACCTTTCACAGAGATTCCTGCAGCACTTCGGCCGCAAAATGTACACAGGCCATGCGGGCGTACATGACATGATCTTCTTGTCCTATGTTGTCATTCTTCCAAGAGCAGGTTGAACATTTTTAGTTTGAGCTGTCGAGGTCGTAGTGGATCCTGCTGGCTGGAGATTCGTTGGAAAGACAGGTGAGGTGAAAGGAGCAGGGGGTGCTGCTGGTGCAATCTATGATTGGTCACGCAGATGCATATGTGATATGTACATGATCTACATTAGACAACAGATGTACCGCCACCATGGCCCTTCTGAATGAGAGATTGGCAGCTTTTGAATGTTGGGAGCCGGCCATGAGGTTGGGACTCAAAAAGACTGGTGGGAAATTCCCGGCAGAAGTTCGAGAGCATTTCAGCACGCATACCGTTACGCAGCAGCATTTAGAAGGTGTAGATGGTGAGAGCTCGTGCTTACTGACATGGACAAAAGTTGCTGGACGAGCCAAACCGTCCTGCTGAAACCTTGTGTGTGTTCTAGTTCAGGAAGAAGAAGCCGAGCCTTGGCTTGATGTATAATGCTGTAAGAAACAGGAGGATGTCTTGCCAAGTCAGTGTGGTGTTCTTGTGAGGAGACTCGTGCGAAGTTCTTCGCATACAACCAGGGCATGCACGTCATCCATGTGGTCGGACCAAAGATTCGATCAATCCAGAATGCTTTGCATGATTTGTCACGAGCCCTGGATGTGATTCTTCAGTGCAATGTGCACCAGGAAGCTGTTCAAAATGTTTGAAGATGCAGTGTCCTAGATAAAGTACTTCTACAAACAATCCACTTGTTCAGGAACGTACGTGAACGTGTTCGATGAGTTCTGCAAGGTCTATGAGGGCCCTGCAACGACCAGCAGACCAACATCGCAGGTAGGACCTGAGTTTTCGGATCATCATCAGCAGTGGGCAAAAGGGAATTTTAAGTCTGTTGCACTTGCAGTTCCAGTGCGCTCTGTTTTGCATTTGGCTTTGTAAGGTGTTGCGCCTGCTGCCGATTTCATCTGGCATTTTCTTACAAAACAGAAAGCCGCTTGGCCTCGACCCCCCACTATCCATTGTCAACATGCACCACACTTTCTCAGCCAAAGTTTCAGTCTCCCTCTGCACTCCCCTTCCAAATCCCTATCTTTTCCGGCAGTTGTACTATCTTGCCATTCCAAATCACGCTAGTTTCTTTTCAATGACTGAGGCTTGAGCGATACATGGCAGAGATCACATGGAGTTCCATTGTTCTTGCCTTTGGTATGATGCCAACCGCTCAACAAGAAATCCTGCGGAATTCGTCCATTGAAGTTTGCATTTTCAAGAAGGCAGAGTTCAAGTTATACGAACAAAAGCTCAAAGAGAAGAAGAACTTGCTGGATAGCTCTATGGCAAACAAATTGAAGCTCACAGAGACCTTCGGTGCAGTGCCGGACAAAGGTGGCTTCGATTGGGTTCGTACCAAGAACATGCCCACTGATCGCCTTGAACGCCTAGCATGCTTTACCCGCACAGCACATGCGTTGGCAGCGCAGGGCTTCACTTCCCAAGCAGGAGAAGTAAAGCTAGAGCTTCAACCAACGATTTCCGGTACCGAAGTGGTGAGAGCAAGCGCCTTCAATGGCACAGGAAGCGGAAGGAAACTTTTGCATCATGAGAATCTGACAGTCATGGAGGTGGCCCTAAAGACTCAGTCTTCTGGAAAGATGACCATGGCTGTGAATGCAGCATCTGCTTATCAAGTTGGAGGAGGGGTCATGAGTGGAGGTCGCCATGCCTTGGAAGAAACCTGGTGTACAATGTCTACTCTACTTCCCTCGTTGCAAAAGGTTCAATGGCAGGATCGCCGAGACACTTCTCATGCCCCGCCAGGTGAGGAGCGTTCTAAATTCACCCTTTCTTTTTTAGTCAGGGACCGGCGAACAATAAGTGAAAACAGTGATTTTAGCTGATGTTTGTAAGGTGTCCGTAAGGTTTGCCGTAAGGATGTGCAGGTTTGAACGATGCCGTAAGCGAAGTTTGTTTACTTTGATTCTGTTTCCTTTCCTGTTTTGCAACAACATACCACATGTGACCACAGTGAACTTGCATACCTCCGCCGTAAGCACAACGTAAGAATAGTCATGCATGTGCCACCGTAAGCAACACATAGAAACACGTAAGCCTTGCGTAAGGCCTACCGTAAGGCTTGATTTCTATGTAAGAAAAGACAACACAATTTTGGACACCGCTCAGGTGGCCATCACCTACACCAGCACATTCCAGTGGATGCGTGCGTTTTGAGCCCGGCTATCCAGGTCTTTAGAGACACCAGTGCCAAGGGATACCGTTTTCAAGAGCGGCCTGTCACCCTTACCGGTGTTTGCAGCATGGCTATGTTCAACATGAACTCCCGGGTGGCAGACAGCCCACTAGATGCTCCTCGTGAGTTCACTGAGTACTGCAAGCAGGTGAAGGACAAGTTTAAGGCTGCCATGGCCTGCATGCTAAAGCTCAAGGCAACTGTGCTTGTTTGTCCAGATGTTGGCTGTGGCGTCTTCGAGAATGACCCTGAAGTTATGGGCTGCTTGCTTGGCGAGGTTGTTCTGGACTATCCCGGGGACCTTGAGGTGATCGCAACAGGGAAACCGGCCTTCTTTGATGCTTTGCGCAAGACCGTTGAGGCTGATCCCAAGCTTCCGCTCAGAGCAACAGGGGCTGCACCAGCCTCCTTTGAAAAGCTGAAGGCTGCGCCTCCCAAGGCTGCGCCTCCCAAGGCTGCGCCGTATGCACCAAAGGCCAAGGCAAAGAGTGCTCCTGGGACAAGTGCACCAAGTGGAGCAAGTGCATCTGGACCCCCATTGGTCAGAGCCTCGAGAAGCAACGACATGACTTTTTATTGGCCACTTCCTTTTGTCCTTGTGAGGCGGAAGCCAAAGCAGTGTCACCAGCGGCCCCAAGTGCACCAAAAGCTAAGGCCTGCTTGAAGCATTCAATAGCTTTACACATGTAAACGTTCTTAAGACCCACCACCAAGTAAGCACAGGCCAAGTCAGGAGCAGTGCAAGCGAAAGCATCACCGAAGGCCCTTGGCCTCAGCTTCGTTCTGGTACTGCTTGCTAAGTTCTTGTATTTGATTTCCGTTTGGTTGATGTCCAAGGCTGCACCAATGAGCTGATATAGAGAGCTTGCACATTAGGTTGAATATTCGCCAAATGACTGGTTTCCCAGCAATGACTTAGCAACTTGCACAACCCCTCCATATGTGAAGTGCTTCGGAACCCAGCCGCATGGGCTATGTGGCGAGCTTGAAGCTTAATTCAGCTTGTGGTGAAGACCCCAAGCTGGTCCAGTGCTTGCATCAAGTGGCTGCAACAGATTTGCTATGATGTGTTCCAGCTCTTTAAGGTCACATAAGTCATATGTTTGATCATCTTTGTGATTGATGCTGAGGTGGTTGTAGCGCTGGTTGTGATATTTTTCCTCGAATAACGCAGAACTACATATATACAGTAATTTAGAATATTTGATCTTAAGAAGCTCAATCGTCACAAGGGGCACATTTTCGGGTCAGTTCTATTTAACCAGGCTAGCGCCTGGCAGCCGCCGACCCCCAGGGAAGTGGATGGCCTAGGTTTAATGGGTTAAGATTTTTTTTGAAAAATCGAGCACGGCAAATGGGTTAGCATTTTTCCTTGAAAATCTGGGAACCCAAAAGCCTCCACCGGCACACTTGCAGAATGCGAGCACAGCACTAGAAAAGAGCAGAGAAAGCTTGCACGTGCGGAGCGCATAGAGGAGAAACTCCTAGAAAAAACCCTTGAAAGCACCTTAGAAAAAAGAGTGGAAAATCTCAGGAAACCACAGAACTTCCTATAAAAGCCATAGAAAATCCTAGAAAAACCATCGAAAAAGGCATGCGTAAATCTTACAAAAACCTTTGAAAATCCTAGCAGTCCAGCGGAAAACGTTACAAAACCTAGGAAAAGCCAAGGGCACTGGCAGGGACCAGGCCGCAACCAGGCCGGGATTCGAGCCCGGGACCATTTAGGGACCGTGCTTATTTTCCCCTGCGGGTGGAGAGGGTGCTCCAAGATGTAAATCAATTGGGATGGAGAAATCTTGGACAATTTTTGGCTACTTTTCGTCACTTCAGCAAAGCTCTGGAGGGGTAGGGGAGGTATAGCCTTAATCATAGCCTTAGCCTTAATCAACAGTCACGCCTGACCCCACGAGTGGGGCCGGCGGATTTCTCATCCCGCTTGTCACCGACACCACTGCAACACTGCTTAACACTTAGGAACCTCATCCACCAGTGACGACACAAAAGCCAGCAATTCCATCTGTCGTTTCACGCTAGCATGTCTAATACATGTCTCACTTACCTACCGTTTGGCTCAAGGAAAGCCAGGTGCGACTTGTTGGTACTTTTCGGTCGTTCGCCTGTAACTACAGGTTATCAGCCGTATCGCCATAAGTGCGGTACGTGCTTACTACTAGCTTTGGTCTCACCCCACCGTAGATAGTGCACTATCTAGAGGCCATGGCTGATGACGAAAGTTCCCGTGGTGACCGCTCACGTTCAGGCTACGTTCCCACTTCGCCTGCGATGTCCAGCTCACCTGCTCTGGAGCTCCCTGTTGTTCCGCTGGAGTTTCGTGCGCCAAATGTGCCACTGATGCTCAGTGCACAGGGGGACCTGCTGCCTAGTGTTCAAGCTCCGTCGCCTTTTCAGCCTGAGTTTTCTCCTGTGATGAATGTCCAGAACGTTGATGCGAGACAAATTCATCAACAAGCAGTTTTCGTCAATGAGGATAGGTCAGCTCAGGTAGCTCAGATTGCTGAATTGCGACATCAGGCCATTTTGGCCGAGCATGGGCAACAAGTAGCAGATGATGCTAGGCAATATAGAGACTTAGTGGAGAACCAAGCTAGAGTGGCTGTCCAGGAGTCTAGGGAACAAATCGAGGCTTTAGCCAGTCAACGGTTGAGTGACATGAACCAAGCCCACCAAAATCAACAAATCCATGATCAAAGGGCTTATTTAGATCGCATTTCGCTCGAACGACACGCCGTCGTCGAGAACGAACGCGCCTCTGCCAAGCAAAGAGAGGATGCACTTCGGTCAGAGTTAGCTGAACAGAGTCGAATCATTAAGGAGTTACGAGAAAGATTTGACAACGCCTCGGGGAACCGAGTGCCTGCGCCATCAGTGCAGCCACCTGGATCCCAAGGATCCCCAGCTTTGCCTCCGGCGAGCCTTCGTACTCAGTTGGAGAAGCCCGGGATCGAAGGCGGTGACAAACCTCATCCATCCGATGCTGATGAAGAAGGTGATGACAAATCCAAGAAAGACAAGAAGAAGAAAGGAAAAGAGAAGAAGAAAGAGAAGAGCCCAAAGAGGGGCCGCTCGAGAGAACGGAGGAAGAAGCGTTCTCCTTCTCCATCACCTTCGTCACCCAGCTCATCAAGAGGGAGTGATGACTCCAACGGCTCAAGCTCTGAATCATCACGTCTTGCACGCATCATCCGCAAGGAGCTGAAGAAGCAGCAGAGGAAGTCAAAAGACAGGGATCATGAGAGCAAAGCCAAAGAGGCTGATAAAGCTCTCATTCCCAAGTTTCCCACGCCTGAGAAGTACAGAGATTAGAAGATCAAGGTGAGGGACAACATTGCTGCAGCTTCAGCCAAACCAGATGAAGCCAGGACTTGGGTTGGGAAGTATACAAAGATTCCCAAACCATTGACGCCTTGGATGATTCAGAGGGTTTTGCCACCCTTGACGCAAAGCTTCTTGCAAGCTTGACCAACTGCGCTGAGGGGGACCTTGGTCGTCAGATTGCTACCTTCAAGGAGCTGCGCGCTCGTGAAGACAAGAATGTGAAGGGAAGACATTTGCTTCTTCGCTTTCACGAGTACTTTGCTACAAGCATCAAGCATGGTGCGATCTATGGTCTTGAAGACCTTATGTCCGTCAAGATGATCAATGATGACCTCAAGGGCTTTATCAACAAGTGGGACAGTGTTCTGGCTGGAATGAAGAAAGAATCAGAAAACAGTGTCCTAGAAGCTTACTTCCATCTGGCAGTGAAACGCTTCAAACCCCTTGAGCATGACCTGGCCTTGTACGATCGTGCAGCTGATGGAAGCAAGGAAAGATCATACGACTTCCTGATCACGGCCGCAAGGGCCTATCTTGAACGGAAAAGGCTTGAGAAGATGCGAGACGCCACGAAGCGTTCGCTCGGGGCCAAAGATACAACCATGCCTGCTCCAGAAGAAAAGAAGGGAGTATGTTTTGACTTCCAGAAGACCGGAAAATGCAAGCGCGGATCATCATGTCCTTACAAGCACGAAAAAGGCCGCGAGAAAAGCAAAGGAAAGGGAAAGGGCAAGGATCGCAGTCAGTCTCGATCAAGATCACTGACGCCAGGATCCCGCAAGGAGACTTGCAAATTCTGGAAAGCAGGACATTGTCATCGAGGCAAAGACTGTGCGTTCCAGCACCCTGAAAAGACTGTCCCTGCGAAGAAAGAGGACAAGAAGAAGAAGAAGAAAGATAAGAAACCTCGCAAGCGAAGCAGCTCACGAGGATCGTCAGGCTCCGAAGGAAAGGTGGGAAATCTTCTTCTTCCAATGCACCGGCAGCGGTCTGCCTCCTACGAGCAGTGGTCATGGCCGCAGTGGTCTCTCAAGGATCCTCCGTCCTCATCACTCGCCCGCTGGGAAGCGTGGCCATGCCAGTCCTTTCCGCATCAAACACTATGTGCACCGATTTTGACAACGCAGAAAACATTGACAGTTTTGTTACGCAAAGAGTTCGTTTTGACGATCAACCAAACATTTTTAGTCATGCTGTTGAGTCTTCTTCCAGTTGGAGATCCGTTCAACCCCGAAGTAAGAAGAAACGAAGATCCTTTACACCAGGTCGACCGGAGCATGCTGAAGCAGTTCGTGTCGCTACTGAAGATGCGTCCATTGCAGCCTCACACCTTCAGAATGCTGTTAGGAACGAGCTTTTGTCCTTGCCGGCGGAATGTTCGTACCTGTGCAACTCCGATTAGGTTGCATCAAGTGTTTTGAGAAGAGGTCATGTCCAACAGTGCCTGCCACTGAGATTGCATGGATCGCTGACACTGGGAGTGCGCACGATCTTGTGTCTAGGCACATGCTTCATTCGGATGAAGTGTCTCAGTCGTCCAAACCGGTCAGTCTTCTTACTGCCAATGGAGTCTTTCAAGCCACTGACCAAGCCAGAGTCAATGTCCCCGTGTTGGGAGCTGACATCAATCCGTACGTCTTAGACGATAGCCCAGCCGTCGTGTCGGTAGGACAACGCTGCATTGATGCAGGATGGAGCTTCCATTGGCCCGCTTACAGTAAGGCCATACTTCAAGAAGCCAGATGGCACTAAAGTCAAACTTGAAGTAGAGGACTATGTTCCATACTTACCATCAACAACTGGTGTTGCGATGTCCGCCATAGGTCAACCTTATGGTTCGAACGAACGGTCGGGGGGGCCACGACCTATGATCTCTCTTCCAGCATCGCCGGCTGAAGAGGCAATTGAAGTCTATGACGACGATGACAATCCCATCGGCGAAGATCCTGTTGAAGATGATCCTGAGCCAGTGGATGAAAGATTGGTGGAAAAGCCGTTGGACCCGAAGAGGGATAGGGGAGAAAAAGCTCTTAAGGAAGAAGCTCAGTCCGTTCAGCATCTGTTGACTCACACCCCGAAGAACCCCTTTTGTCAAGCCTGCTCGAGGGCGAAGATGACCAAACGTCCATCGTATAGCAAGGGTGGTTCGACCCAGGTGGAGGCGGACCACTTCGGACAACATTTGACTGCTGACCATCTTGTTATTCGTGACGACGAGGAAATGGACATCGATGGGGCTCGCGTTGCATTGGTCGTGAAAGACGTAGCAACTGATTTCAGGTATGTCTACCCGGCTGCACGTCGATCGACGCGTGAATGCATAGCAGCCTTTAAGCATTTTGTCCGTTCAA